CTTGAGTTGGTCGACGACAACATTTTTTGAATTGACTGTATATCAAGACTGACCTTCGTGGACTAATGGACATGAAATCTGACTTCGGACCAGGATAAGATCACAGCGCGGTCGATTCGTTAATCTTTCAAGTATAGTGTTCAGTACAATCCGTACATCAGTATGTCTCATTTGTTGACCTTCAACTGACAATTTCCAGTCATTAATTACCCGGAAGACTCTTTTCTACAGCAAAGAACTTTCTTGACCAAAACCTTAAATCTTGAACTTTGGAAGCTAAACAGATACGGGTCAAGAGCAGCATTGATAGACGCCGTCAGAATTGATGCTGTAATTAATTCCAGTTGTATTGCTGATGATGACCCAAGTGCGACAACAAAGTATATTGCAGCAGGGCTCCAGCACACCACAAATGTGACAACTACAGCAAGAACACACAATGTGACTTTCTTTTTCTTCCTTCTCTCGGTGATGTCTCGTTCTCCTGTAGGTTCTACTGTCTGCTTGCACCAGAGGGAAATGAATATTTTCACAGTAAAAAATATCATCAGAGACAAGAAACAAGTGATTTCTACCAAAGAATACAATAAATAAACTTTAAAAATTGAATTGTTGAAGACGCAGGGAAAATAGCCTCTGCTAAAATGAATATCGACAACTAAGGGAGATACCATAACAACAGCATATATCCAGGACACCATAATGAGCACTTTGACGATCTTTGGCGAGAAACGCTGACGGAAGGTGTGAGGACGACAAACAGCAAAGTATCGTTCAACTGATAAACAAATCATGGTGAAAATAGAAGTTCTGGACGCCATCCAACCGATGTTACCAAATCCAATTAGCTTACACAGCCAGTCACCAAGAACTCCATCAGGCAAGGATGGTCTACCCAACAAAGGCAGAACTATATACTCAGGAGCAAAAAAAACACCAAATAAAAGATCTGCTACAGCCAAGTTTAACAGCAGATAGTTTGTGGAGGTTTTCATTCCTCGTTCATTCCTGATGATGTAGATAACGAGGGAGTTTCCTGCTATGTTGAAGACGAGAACAGCAGAGAGCACGACAGAAAAAATGATTTCATTTAATGCAGCTGCCATGACTTCGGGTTCGATCTTGAACCTATATGTGATCACTTCAACCAGTGCAGCTATTGATGGGACTTGAGGTGGGCATCTTCTTATGTAGTCAGGTTGTGTTGCCTGTAGGATTGTCCCCATTCCAAAAATACACAGCTGGTTTTATTATTCATTTTGATAACGACGTTTTGAAGTGTTTTGTTTTTGATGCGTCTAAAAATCATTGTACTTCCTTATTAAGTTTTAATGAAATTTTATTTCATCATGGAGTTTTAATATTTTTATTCTGCCTTCACGAATATTGGTTTTTCCTTTTGATAAAACAGAGCATTGTCTTATATTTCATAGTAGAAGGGTGTAATCAATCTATGGACGACGAATCTAAATCTAAATTATAAAGCATCCCTCTTGACAAGACCAAGTTCTAGCGTGCGTTCAGTGAATGCCATTTCATATGAGAATATCTCTAAAATACTCGCGGCTTTTTCATTTCATTTTCTCGTCATGGTTTCCTACCCTTCTCTTGTGTTCTCGAGCCAGTCCCGCGCATCGAGTGTCTAAAAAAATGAGTGTTTTAGGTTTTTAACTGATCTAATAATTACAGAAAGTCACTCAAGACATTTGTAGGGCATTCGTTTATTTAAGAAAACAGTAAATTTAGGATGATTTCACGATGTTTTGTGTGTGTGTTTTATTCCAAATCAGCTCATAAAGTTTCCTTAAATTCCAAGAGTTCAAAGTTTCTAGCGAGTTTATATGTTGTGTGCAATGCCGTGAGACTTCAGTTACTAAAAAATCAAGATATCCCACAATGCTTTTTCTTTTGTGTTGACGTGACTTCATGGGCTACAAACCTGTAGTTTACAGATTATATGAACTCTATATCATTTACTACCATTACTAAATATTAATTCATCAAAATGGCCCCGTGGCCCAATGGAGAAGGCATCTGACTACGAATCAGGGGATTCCAGGTTCGAGTCCTGGCGGGGTCGTTGAAATTTTGATTTTGATAGCCGCAGACAAATACCCTGCTGGGCTTCAGGAATGCCGACGGCGAAAGAATAAATAACCCTTTAAAACCAAGGTTAGCATATTTTTCCTCCCCTCCATGGAAAAATAAGAAAGACCAGGAACCTTAACACGTAGCAGTAGCAGTAGCACGCAGAGTCCATGCGTTTCGATATCTGGTTCAGCTTCAATAAAGAAATCACTAAAAGAAAACCAAGGGAATCGTATTTTGATAAAATGAATACCAATCGCCCAATGTGGTGCTCGAACCCACGACCCTGGGATTAAGAGTCCCATGCTCTACCGACTTAGCTAACCGGGCACTTGTTTCTAAAATTCACTTTGTTTCTTGTGATTTTTCGGTTCGTATTTTGAAGAGAATAGCATGTTATTTGATGTTCCTTTATCGTCCTTGTCTTACAAGGGTAGCACTCAATATAGCCAGCGGTTAAGAAGCCGGTGGCCCTCGTTCCATCATCGAATTGGAATTTAAGAGGGAGGAAAACCAGGGAAGCAGGAGAAAAGCCCTCGAAGCACAGGAGAGAACCAACAAACAACTAGGGACTCGAACCCGGAATCTTAAGTGCGCATGCGCTATCAAGCAGCGCCATGTTTATATGTATTTGTTGTTGTTGATTTTTTTCCTTCTTTCTAGCTATGGTTCTTCTTTAATTATTTCCTTATTTCCTTCCTATCTTTCTTTCTTTGCCAAAATATTCCCCCTCTCTCCCCATTACATTTTATGTAACGCGTTGTTTCCAAATTGTTCTGCTCTATACTATGAATCACGTGTTCGACAAACTCAATATTTGTCCGATTTCAAACACATGACGTCAACTCGCGCGCTCGTTCCAATTATTACGTCACAAAGACATTAGACTAATGACTTCAAACTTAGCTTGATATCAGAACAGAGAAGAACAAAATGAGCGGCTCTATACTGTTCACAGTGTTTTCACATTGTTTTAATGCAATGGGTTGTTTCATGGACTATTTGACATTTAGTAGTACAAATTGACAACATATAAGCTCCAACAGGTAAAAACCAAGCCATCTCATGATTAACAGGGAAAATTGTATTTCGATTTACAAGCGTTTTGAGTTTCTACTTTTTATCAAGTATTTAATCTATTAATCTATTCCTAGTTCAGTCAGATCCTGTCATGTCTGTATTTTGCCTTTATTCTTCGGTCTTTTCATTTTGTTCTAT